TTGAAGGAGTCTATATGCAGTTGTAATAATAATCAACGGAGATAAAGAAAAGAAGACGAGTTTAATTATAAGGAACTTAATTATACAAGTTTTTGAATTCTCCCTCTGACCCTCTGTCAATATTTAAGGTACAATTTATTATAGCTCGTCTTGAAGTTTCAGGTGTAAAGAATACTATCTTAAGAGTCTAGTCAAAGAGTTTTTATAAAAAAAATATAATTTCCATTAAAACTAAAATAATTAGCTTGAAGCTATATTAGAAACCAATAGAAACTATACCTCGCTGATCGATTATATATTAATTTAGTAGGGTGTCTGCAATTGCTATTTAACCCAAATTTATAATGGAAAGAAAGAAAAAGATGTATACATAGTGTCTTTTATAAATGGCGCTGTATAACTGATACAAAGAACATTTTAAGTACATATTTGTAAATAAATGACAGAATTGATACTTTATTTACTGTAAAAATAATCCAATTACTTAACAAATTTAAAATAATATTTTAAAAATTACTTCATCACTAAACGTGTGCTGAAAGGAAAACATAGATGATAGAGAGTCTGGAAAGATATATAATATTCCAACATTTTAATTGTTTTGACGAGTTACATTTTACGATACATTTGTGATCATTATATTTTCCCTTAAACATAAAAAAGAGAGAATCTTCAATTAATAAAAAAGGACCCACTTCACTGCAGTTTTGCTCAGTCTTTACTTAGGCAAACTCCCATTTATATCAATGAGAATTATTAGAATTACACAGGATTGGGCTCACAGCATTCTGTAGCAGCTAAAATAAAAGTACACTGATGAGTTACAACTTCAGGGGATTCTTTTTACAAAAAAAAGTATTTAATGATCTCAAAATTTAAAACGCCCAAATAAACCTTGATAAGGTCATTATATAATCGCACACTGTGACGCTTATAAAATGAAGATACAAAGAGATGCAGTTTGACTATCTTTACACTTACTGACAATAAAACATGGAAACATATGGAAGCCATCGGTTTTAATGCGTAACAATTTCGGTACATTGCAGTATATACATGCTTAATAGGTATCCCGAATGTTAAAATTATCAAAGCCTTTACTCTTAAGTGTATGCTGTTGCATTCATTATACTGGAAAGAAAACGCTTGCTGGTTACAGACTAGTGTTAATGAAACACTGCATTTCTGCCTTTTCACAAGAATTGCATTCCATGCAGCAAATGTGTAGGAATAATTTATTGGACAGAAAAGTTCAGGAGATAAAATGCAGAAATGGACATCGTTTAAAACTGAGAACTATAGAGCAGTCAGGACATACATATACCTATATATATATCTATACACAGAGATACACATAGACACATACACATACGTATGTATGTATATACATATGATTAGATAGTTTGCCATTTTCTGTATCCTCCCGGCCCCTAAAGTTATCTTTAAAAGTTCGATTTTATCTCTTTAGAAACGGTTTAAAGCTAACGGGCAGGGTGAGTTTGACAGAAAGGAGAACAAATCGCTGACAAAGAACCTTTTACGTTTCATCAGCGTTGTTAGGACGACAAGCAGGAATTTCTCAGATAATAACTCCCACTTCAAAGATTTCTCAGCTCAATAGAAATTGGACCATCCTTTTTATTCAATCACAAGGGCTGGCACTAAAGACGACTCAACTGTTTGAATTTTTTCGTCGTGTTTATTTTTCCCCTATTCACTAGGGTACTTGGATAAAATAAACAACAAGACAATTACTGGAACAGGACTTCTAACTTTCCCGGGACCATAACCCATCGGCCATGGCCTCAGCCATGCGGATGTCAAGTTCTTCATCCCTTCAAGCACTTTCCACTTTCCAAACCTGCCGCTATCAGTGTCCCCTTGGGCTGGGGACTTCCTCCACAACAGCTTCTAGTCAGGCCTTTTCCCTATTTATTTTTCAGGGAATAATGATATGATCCAAAGGTTCTTATTTACCTTGCTAGATACACCTTACACCATTAGACTAAGAAAGCTCAAGTGTCCCTTTAATTCCCCATCCTAACTTCACTGTCTGGGGACTGGGGAAGGGTGGGGGAGGAGGACACACAATATTTTTTTTTACACTGGAGACATTTTTGAATGGGAATGTTTGATCGTCTGGATTCTGAAAAAAAATGTGTCAGCTGGTTAGAAATGCTCATGTTCTGAAGAGAGTTAGCACTAACTCAGATTATGTACATGCCCTTTATTGGCAGTCCCTCCTTTTGGTATAATGACTTCAGTGCAAAACTACCATACCAAACCCCACCTTAGAGTGAAAGCAAACAAAAACAGTCTGTTAAAGTGTACTAGGCGGAGGAAGTATATTTCTGACGAAGAGCAGATTGACTGTATTAAGCTAGCATGAAACCAAAGGTCAGTGCAAATGTATCTTAATAGACTGTCTCAAATGGAGTGTGCCTCCTTTGAAGGCCGCTTGCTATTGGTCTCCTCATTACCATAGCGATCCTAACGTGGCATGTTGATGCACCATAAAACTCACACTTTCAACCCCAAAATCAGACCCTTTGAACAACCCGAGCTTGATTAGACCTTTCTCCTTTTCTTTTCCCCCTTAAAAACCATTTCCTTGCCTTTAGAAACTCGCCATCAAATCCCAAACGCATTCTCTGACCAAGGCAGAAAGCAGAAACAAAAGTGAGCTGACGCGACGGTTCAAGCGGGCCTTTTCTTCCTGACATTCTTATCCATTTTTATTATGATCTGGAACAAGTGCCCATTCGCGTGGGTTTTGTTTACCGGAAATTAAATGAAAATGATTTAGTTCGCGTCAAACAAAAATATATACTTGTATACACAAGAAAAAGGGCCTGTTAGACGTAAATATTATGTCCTTAATGAAAAGTCTGGACGGGCTCCAGACTTTGCCTTTCACTATTTAAGTATGACTTGCCTATTGCCATAGAAATCCTAACTTACCATGAAGATTCACCCTTGCGAAGAAATACTTCTTTGTGCGAGCTTTCTTTGATGTCTAAGGCATAAGATTCAGGCTTTCAGCTGCGTCTGTCTAGATTACCTTGAGAGCAACGGGGTAGACATCTGTAACAAGCAAATGAAAAATTAAAGGTGATTAGCCTTCACATCCAAACACTTATGTAAATAAAGAAATAAAGAAATAAACAGATCTCAAGACAAGATGGAAACACCCTCTCCTTTCGCAGATGGCTTCCATACCTTTTAATTTCCACGCTATACGTTTCATGGTTTGAATAGTCAGTTGGGAACAATCGTCTTATAGTTTATATTGTTGATAACTACAATAGTTTATTTTTTAATTTGCCTAGCTAATTCATTAGGTATATCTGTATACATGTTTATGTATCGTGTTTCCATTGTTTGCAAGGCTTGCTAAATTAACAAGCAGCATCCGAACAAAGTTGTGTAGGTTCAAATACGTAGAAGTTAGTGGCTTTGGAAGAAAATAAAGATGCACCAGAAGGATGATGATTAGGTTGTTGATTTCTTTCACAACTGTCCTTTTTTTTTTTCCCGTGGGGCCAGGTAACACTAACCCGTTATCTGACTGAACAGTTTGTAGGGGATTTTGCGCAAAATTTGAAAAAGAATGACTAGATCAGCCACTCTGTCTGCATTTAGCACGCCATAGAAACCACTTTCAGGAAATCGTATTGTTTATTTGCCTACGCTATGTGGTATTTTTAAACATAATGAATGAATGAATGAATGAATGAATGAATGAATGAACTAAAATTTTACCTGTAGGCAGTTTCAAGTTACTCAGTGCCAAAAAAAACAACAACCAAAAAACAGTATTATTTTTATCCCTAGGAGTGAATCATGTGGGTTCGGGGAGATTATAGTTTTAGGGTCTTAGATAAGATGAACATTCTAAAACCATTTTATTTTGTTTTTACAAAATTTATTATTATTATTACAAGACAAATGTTGTGCGCTGTAGACAAGACCAGCACTGATTTTACATGATTCATTCAGAGAAATTGACAACTCACAAGTCCTTTTGGATAGTCCCAGCTCCTATGGATTCAGCACAATGACGTCACCCATAACAGTTCACTCCCACCCCCCAGCGCAAGAACACGGATTTTCGTCCTCCCAAGAAATCACAAAACCCCACAATTCAACAGGAATGACACTTTCAAGGGGTGGGGAGAGAGGGAAATATGTTTATGTATTAAAAGTCATTACTAGTGTAAACTAAAATGGACAATTAATCACTAAGCCACCCTTGGGCCATTTTATTATTATTATAATTAGTGACAACTGGGAGGGGGAATATACTGCACCAGGAAAAAGGATTGAGATTCTTTACAGAGATGTCCGCTGCATTGGTTACTTAATCAAATAATTTAATTGATCGATTTCATACAATTCGGTAACAAATAATAGTGTGTGTGTGTGTGTGTGCGTGTGTATATATATACACAGAGAGAGAGAGAGAGAAAGGGAGAGAGATAAACAGAGAGAGAGAGAATAGTGGGCTAACAAAACTGTCAGTAAACCTCTATCACGAGATACCATCGACAATAAAACCTGTACAGCTAGAAATCCGAATTAAAACACTTTGGTTCGTTAATACACAAGATGTTTAAAATCGATGAGTTTGTAAACATATTAGAACCAGACGACCAGAGGAGTGTGTATAAGGATGCAAAAAGCAATGCGGACTGACTGAAGTTGCCTTCGCGTGTGCTTGGTACCATAAATGCAGTTTGTAACAGAGACCTGTTTAATTTATTTTACAATGTATCTTCTCTTCAGAGGCCATGTGCCAGGGCAGCGCCTCTATCTCTTTTTTTATTCCCCGTGTGCGGTGCTCACATTATCTATGATCCCCTCGCATAAGATTGTTCCCTCTACTGTGGCAGTCTTGGTACAGTGGTTCTGCATCGCAAAGGTAGCAGAGTAACAAGAGGAGACCATTCGATGAGATCCAGACTGCAGACCGTGTGAGCTATCTGTTTATTGATTTATTTCTAATAATTGGGCCTGGGCTCACAGTTCGTGTAAGAAGCCTCTCCCGGGTTAGGTGACGGAGAGTTACTGGGAGGAGTTGGGATGCCACTGGCCCCCGAGCTCTGACACACGTACCATTCGCTCAGGTTAGCTGCAGTTTGCGACGATGCTACTGGCTCTGCGTGAGAACAGGAAGCAGGAGGGTCCCGGCCGGAGTCCGAGGAGGGAGACACCAGGGAAGGTGTGGAGGACTCGTAGCCTGAACTCGGAGGAGGGGATTTGCAGTGCACTTTCATGTGTTTCCTCAAGGAACTGGGGTGGGTGTAGGACTTGTCGCAGCCTCTCACTTTGCAGTTGTAGGGTTTGTCGCTGGTGTGCACGTGAGAGTGCTTCTTCCTGTCACTGCTGTTGGCAAATCGTCTGTCACAGCCTTCGAATTCACATTTGAATGGTTTTTCTCCTGAAAGAATGCAATTAACGAGTACATACATTAGTAAAATGGGTGGTAGTGTTGGGGGAGGAGAAAAGGGGTTCCTTAGGGTTTTAAAACATGAAATCCCTCAGCATGCCCCTGTGATTTAAACCTTCCAAATAGCCCCTCTACACTAATCTCCCATTTCATTGTACAGACAAATAAAGAGGTGTGCTTTAAAAAACGATCTGAGCAATATATGCGAATAGAATTTAGCATAGGTGCAAATATTTTTAAACCTGAATCTTACATTATTTTTCCAAGTTTCCATTCTTTCTCTCTCTCTCTCTCTCTCTCTCTCTCTCTCTCTCTCTCTCACACACACACACACAATTTTCACCGAAACACCAATTCATAGTTGTCCTTTCCCCCTTAGTCTAAATTGTTTGTTAAAGTGGGATTTGTGCAAGCCACAAAGAAGTCGGGTAAGGTAGAGCCCAAGTGCAGTTGCAGGCTACATGTAAACAATGTGTGCTCTGTCAGCCACAATTCAGTGTTGTGCACAGGAGTGGCCAGAAATTACATTAAGTTCATTTCTCACACTCCCAGAGGTGCACGTGGAAATTTTGCTCATGGCTTTGCTAAATCCCAGCTGCTACAGTATATTTTATATTGACTACGATCATAGCTAGCGTTTATGAATATAGATTGATTTTTTTACTGCATGTTATCTTGCCAGGTTTAAAGAACAGAGCCGTCTTAAAAGCAGGCTGACTGTGAGAGCCAATATGACGTAGCTTCAATGTGAAAGTGACTAGGCCAGTGCCCAGTTGCTGTTGTTAGGGTAAAACTCTTTCACCGTACAACCATATGCAGTAATGGAGGAAATTTAAACCAGGATTAAATTTGATGGCAATATCAGAAACATCATATACGTGTTTAGAAATACAATCATGTTGGCTGAGTACTGCGAGAGGTTAACCTAGGGTTTTCTATACTAAGTATAGCGTATGATATATGAGGCGTGCTTTCAAGGAAATGCGCCAAAGACAGTTTCAGCATTAAATTATATTACTTCTCCATAAATTATTCTACCTGATAATACACAACTGCAAAACGTGTACGCAAAAGGAGCACGAACTTTCTATTACCCGAGGTATGGGAATATTGGTGTTTTTTTTTAAATAACAGAAAATTATATTAGCTTACAAAAGAAGCCCCAAAATATAACTCTGAACTTATTTGGATTGGATGCTCAGACAAAGCCACTGTGCACACCATCTTGCCGTACTTGGGCAAGAGGACTTAGCATGTATCAATATTTTTGGATGTTGTAATTACTAATTTATGAATGACGCAACCTTGATTATATTTCCTTTTTGACACAAAATCGTCCTTTAATACATTAAATATCAGTATTGTAAATATTTAATGCAAATGCACTTTATAAGAGTGGGCGGAGGAAAGCTCCATATTTAAAGTAAGTCTCTTTCAGTGACTTTAAAGTCAATAATCGAGCACGATCTCTCACATACGGTAGCACTAACATTTGAATAGCAAACTAGCAAATATCTGGCATAATAATAAACAAGTTCTAAAAAACAAGATCACTGACGAAATGGTGCAACTCAGGTCCTGCAACAAAATATTTTCTCGCTCTACATTTAAGTATATATTCGAACTACAGATTCACGTAAGGAAACAGTTTGACCTTCAGCATCTTGAGCTGCGACAACAAATCAAGGATATTAGTGTAGTACAAGCAAGCAGTAAGTTAGGAGACCCCAGGGAAAGCCATCCTCATAAACATCGTGATTGTGCAAAGTGAGTTACATTCAGGTAAAATTGGGCTGCTTCCTCATTTCTCAAGTGTTGAAAAATGTTTAACTTCGCTTAACCTCTCTGATATAGTAATTAAATAGCCTTTTTCGTACAATCAGATATCGACTTAGAGATTGAAAAGGGCAACGTTTTCTCATCTGTCTGGTTTGCATTCTTTGAATGCCTCAATAACTAGCAGCAATGCGAATATTTTTTAAGTGGTCCCTTCTAAAGAGAAGGTTTTCCTATGTGTAAATATTTATACTTCAGGAAAAGACCATTTAAAACGTCCTGCATTTGGAAGGCTACATGTAAAAAGTTATAAAGGCTAACGAGAAGCCAAGAGTCTAAACCGCCATTTTAAAACCACACTTGTAGCTGTGAAAACTGTTCAGTGACATTCAGCTTCTTGGAGATTTTGATATAATCCCCCAACTCTGAGAGTGGATTAAGGTATTTACAAAATCCTCACGGGGGAAGGGAGTAGCATAAAATTGTGAATAGCACCTCCATCAATTAAAAGTTAAAATGCATGTGTGTCGCTGGGAATAGTTTCCAACCTCACACTTTTCACTATTGTTCCTAGACTGCTTAAAGGACAGGAACATGAATTCCTTCCATCCCTACCTGTTCGCTGTTGTTATAAATCAGATAATAAATATAATTTAATCGTGCAAATCCCCAAAACGCAAGAAATCCACCCGTTTCCCAGACTCAGGGAAATGCAGTCATTAATATTTGAGAAGGCAATTATTTTCCTGTTGAATTCAGAATTGTCTTCATGAATAATTTGTACAAAGTTCTATTACGATTTCAGAAACATTTTGTTTTTGACAACTTCTGGGTGTTTAATAGAAACGACGCAACCGTAAAGGCCCTGCAGGATTTTTCAGAATGCAGCAATTAGTCATTGGGAAAGTTAAAGTGAAAAGTATGTACGCACGAAATTATGTTTAATAAATCCAAACCTACGATTCCTGTTATACTCTCAACCTGCTTCCCTGATGTAGGTCAATTTCCCTAAGAATTTAACCATTTTCTGCTTCACAGACTTCAAACAGCGAGGCCGTTAAAGAGCAGTAAAAGTTTGTTTACTTAAGAAAAACACTGTAATTAAGGGATGAGCTATCTTATTTAATGGTTCTACCTGTTCTGAACTAACAAGAAGATGGCTTAGGGTATCATTTATATTATGTGGGGTCTTTTTTACTTAAAAAATAAATTATCGAAAGACTATTAGACTAATAAAACGTTAGAATATATATTTAAAACGAGCTGTGGAAAAATACTATGTTAATAGCGATGGCTACTGTAAAATTACTGCGCTATATTTAAAATGCATTGATACAAAATTAGTATATTTCTCACGCATATTGTACCTTGTTGAGCTGTAGCACAAAAATGCAACTGCACCAGGGTCAAGGCAAACACCGACCGTGGGGGAGGGGGAGTTTTATGAACTGGAGGGTGAAAAAAATCGTTTGGCTGTAAACAGATCTTACAATAGGATTATGTAGTTTCCCTAGCAGTGCATAAGGCTGTACAGGAGGGCGTGGAAGGTGAAAAACCCTATACTGGAACAGATTTAATTTTCCGAAAAGGGCTTATTTCTTATCTTCTTCTTCAGAAAAAAGGCAGCGCCAGAGACTACAAACACCGGCTGCTAAACTAATTAATACAACTTCACAGGCTGCTTCTGTAAGTGTGAAAACTTTCTACGTGCAATTTCATTAATTATAGATGCCTTTCTGGCCGGAAGAGTTCAAACATCGCTTTGCAAAATCTTCCATCGAGTTACTTTCCTTTCTGTGAACTAGGACTAACAGATGTTTCTGACATATGTCCTAATTTCACTTAGCAGTTCTGCGAATGACATTTCAAAATGTACAGGCCGAAACAATACTATTTTCCCTCCCTAGAATAAAAACTTTCAGCTCCCCACATTTGCAAATGCACAGAGACCTTAGATGGTAATGTTCATTAAAAATGTCACTGTTATTCAGCTCAAACATTAAAAACTCCATCTGACCAAAACAAAACTGTTGAACGAAAAGGTTGCAGCTGTGTTATTCTCACAATGTTAGAGGCAGCAGCATCTCAGCGACATCAGTCAAAACTGACTAGACAAGCTGTAATTTCTATTGTTCACTTTTAATTTGTGAGCTTGCACAATGATTTCGTTTTCCCCAACTACTTTAAACTGCCAGAGAAAAAAAATTCCCAGCCTGTGTGAATAGACGTGTAGTATTCATATCTCTCAGTATTTATAAAGATATAGATGAACAAACATTATATCAGTGTATTTAAGCTTTAGAATTTCTATACATAAATTCTGAGATTTATTCATTTTGCAAATGGAGAAAAAAGCAAAGAAATCTAAGAATGTAATTAAAATAATTATTTGGTGTGCATTCATTCTCCATAACGATACACTACTTAAAGAGGACGCTGAACAAAATAAAGAAATTAAGGATAGCTTTCAATACTGACCTGTGTGAGTTCTTTTGTGTATTTTGAGATTTTCTGATCTAGCAAACACTTTCCCACAGCCTGGGAAAGGGCAGGGGAAGGGTTTTTCACCTGTGTGGACTCTGATGTGATTTACAAGTTTATATTTGGCTTTGAAAGGTTTCCCCTCTCTTGGACACTCTTCCCAGAAACATATGTGATTGGACTGCTCGGGTCCTCCAACATGCTCCACTGTGACATGAGTCACCAGCTCGTGCATTGTGGTGAAAGTTTTCGAGCATAATTTTTTGGGAGTCTGGTCCAACTCAATCCATTTACAGATGAGTTCCTGTTTGATGGGCTGCCTCATGTAACGAAAGAAAGCACCAGGGCCGTGGTGTGGAGCCAGATTCACGTTCAGATTCATGCCACCGTAGCTATGAAGCGAGGAAGCAGCAAAAGGATCGGTCCTGGAGGCTGGTACTTGAGTGAAATGTTCAGACCTGGCGTACATTTCTCCAGGTAACCCCAGTCTTATCTGTCCGTTTAGATGGCCACCTGGAGTTGCATGGGGAGGCTGCTCATGGAGTCCAGAGAACAGAGAATGATTCCCAGCTTCTGAGTGGTGGTGACCATGGTGTCCGGGGTAGCTACCTGTTGTTGAGACAAACATTCCGTGGTGAGAACTTGTAGCAGTGTGTTGCTCAGTTAGCCCTGGCATGACTGGAGCTGTCAGATCTCTGCGTATTAAGAAGTCCCTACCTGCTGAAATAGCCTGGGCTGTGCGAGACACTGGGTAAGGGACTGCTGTTGACTGCGCCGGGCCAAACGTTCCTGTTTGACTAGAGACCACCTCAGCTTGGCCTGCCATATGATGATGGTGGTGGTGGTGGTGGTGGTACTGGTGGTGAGGATGAGGATGAGGGGCAGGGCTGAGTTTAAGGGCCGCAGGGTGGTGAGGATGATGATGATGATGGTGGTGGTGGTGCCCCATGTGTTCAGGCCGGAATGGACTCGGCCCTAGGCGAGATTCCGCGGCGTACTCCCCAGGGTGCGTGGGAGCCACTGAGTGGGGATGCCCGGCGATGCCCGGGAAGCCTGTCATGCTCTGAGGGGGGTGGAGATGATGATGGTGGTGATGAGCCCCTGCCAAGTGTACTAATCTCAGCGCCGTGTTCCGTTTGGAGAGTGCAGCAGGGTCCATCACTGGGCTCCCCAAAGCATCCACGCTCATTAGCTTCTAATTCTAAAAAGTCACCTGACAGCGGGGAGGAGAGAGACAGAGACAGAGAGAGGCGAAACTTTTTCCCCCCAAAGTTTTTTTTGGGGGGGGGAGGGGAGGAGAGGGGCTGGGGCTGGTTTGGTTTTTGTTTTTGTTTTTTTGTTTTCCTGTTCCCTCCCCCCCTTTTAATGCCTACGTGGAATCCTATACGCTTGAGAGGCAGCAGCAGGACGCTGGGAGGCTGCTGAATAGAAATTCATGGACACGGCGCCAGCCCAGAGAGCGAAACAATCACCGCGCGCTCTGATTGGCCACCGCCTGCTCGCTGACGTCAGCGATGACAGGTCCGGCTTCAGACTGAAAAGCTTTATCAGGGTGCATGTGTGTGGAGGGGGTAGGGGGTGGACGGAGCTACGCAGGCGCTAACCGGGGAGCGCCCCCTTCTCCGCTAAAAGCCTCCCTCCCCCCATGTGCCTCGCTAGCGAGCAATGCCCGGCGCTGGCTCCCCGCATTTTGGTTTCGAGCTGCTTTTCACTGAGAGCGCAGGGCAGGGCCGGCCGGCGCGGCAATCTCCTGGTCCTGGCCCAGCCCCGGCTCCTCGCTGGCGCTTAGCGGCGGTAGCCGAAGGAGGAGCCAGTCCAAGGGAAAGCAGCTCCAGCCGCGCTGCCGATCGTGCTCGAGGTGCCCGCTCGCTGGTTCCTCCTCCCCGCGCTCTGCCCTTCGCCCCGGGGAGGCCGATCGGCAGCCGGAAGCCTCTGCACTTCGAAACCCGTCTGCTTCCTTGGCTAGCTCCGCTGCTCGCCCGGACCTAGCCTCCTCCCGCCGCCAAGCAGCCTCCCCCGCTCCCGCTCTCTCCCCCGAGCCCCTCCAGAGCCACCAGCCGGCACGTAGCGGCAAACCGCGGCTGCCTTCGGAACAAGTTGCCTGGTTGGCCGCTCGCGCGCCCGTTGCTTTGTTAAGTCGCAGGGTGACTTAAAGTGCAGCTCGCAACTCTTCGCAGCAACAAAGATGGGCTGGGGCTTCCCCTAAGTTCCGTGATCCAGCCACACAAAACGCCCGGGGAAACGGGGCGGGGTGAGGCAGGAGAGGAGACAGGTCCTGAGCCTGCACCATCTCCCCTCCCTCCCTCCCCCACGGCAGGTCACTATCTCAAGTTTTGAATAAAGAGCGCGGTTGCACTTTTGTCTCGGTTTGTGAAATCCTACTGAAGTATCCATCTCCTGCCTGAAGGTCATTCCCGAAGGAAGAAGGGAAGCATGGGGCTCCTTCAGTCTCCCTTGAGTAGCGTCCTTTGTGGGAGCAAGTTTTTATTGATGAAACTTAATGCTCAGATTCAGCTCTGATGCTTCGTTAGGATTTCCCCCCCCCCCCCCATCATTTTGACTCCTGTTTATTTATAGCACACACAAATCTTTCCCATGTACGAGCATTTCAAGGGCCTTTTCTCAAACTGAAAGGAGGACAATGCGAGGGGACGAGCTCTGCATACAGAACACATCCTGGGAAGCAGAGCTGGGGAACTCTTTAGATTTCTGACACTTGTTGACAGCACAGATAACTGGTCTTTCTACTTGAGAAATAGTAGTTAAGCGACACTAGAGTCTTACTTCCTAAGATTACACAATTTGGCTAGTTCTGGGAGTATTATATCTTTATACCAAATCTTAGAAAGGATTCTTGGAGGAATCCCACGCCACATATTTAAATGTCAACAGTTATTTTGTTAATGGCTGCTGGAGTAATATGATAAATCATTACATTAAGAATGAAACCGAGTATTTAACCCAGAAAAGGGAATAATCTCCCTCTCTCTCTCTCTCTTTCCACTTACAGAATTGTGCAATCTAACCACCATCTTTCGATTTTAAGAAAAGTCCTTAAATACATATAAAGTACTCTCTCCTATTTTTATACTCCTTAGAAGAAAGAAAATATATTGGCTGTAGGATTTACATTGTTAATGATGAACGTATAGTCTAGGGTTTCTGGCTTTATGCACTGAGGCCTTATAGATTTAGTAAAGCTTAGAGCTTCAGCACAGGAGAAAGCCTCTATTTATTTTTTTAAGAGGAGTATTGTGAGTTAAAAAAAATCCTGGAGAAAGACAGTGGAAACAGTGCGTCAGTTTTGGGAAAGAAAAAGATAACAATAAATATCTTCCTATAAGGTCATCACAAAATTCAATAGTCATAAATAGTATTCGCTCAATAACAGAAATACTTTTTTAAAATAAAACAACAAATGAATATATATTTTCACATTGTTACAATTTTTATTTATTGACTTACTATTAACTTGTCTATGGACACTTTATAATATTCACTCTACATCTGGAGTTAGAAACCCCCAATGCAATTTCCAAGTTAAGACGCATAATTTTGCATTTCCATAAAAGTTTAACAATTGCTAACTACGTCTGTAAACGATCATCTTTATGTTAAGTAGTAAACCAAGATAACGGTTGGCATGTTAATACCTAAACCGCGCTATTCTCATAACACAGGCAACTCGCCAATGACTTGTAATCATAAGTTTAAAGTGTAGGACATACGTAATTATATATGGGACATTTTTATTACTGCTTTGCATAGCGAGCGTTGGCTACGGTTACATATTTTTGGAACGAGCCTGGATTTGACTCTGTTTTATGTAACACAAAGCTAATATTTAGCTAGATCGTTGTGTTTACATTATTGGGTACATATTTTTGACTTGAGATGATGAAAAATGACACATGATACAATTAGTTATCCATCCTTACATAACATGTTTACTCAGGCATTTTAAATCACACACCAGCAGTTAGCGCCACAACATCTTAACTTTCAAGTCTATTTGCACTAAGTAATGCATTTGACATTCCTATTCCTGCCCATCTCAATAGGAGTGCACAGAAGAGATAAACGTTAGGAATTATTAATCTGCTACTTACAAATATACTGAGAGTGTGACTTCCAAATATAGCTGTTTCCTCATACCTCCTTAAAACACTTCATCTCTACATACTTGTTATCCATCAATTCTGACACTTCTCAGTCAAGGGAGAAAACATCTGGAACAGTTTATCAATTAAAAATGTTATCACCAGTTTGCCTAGGCTATTTTAAAATATTGTGATGGTTTCCTGTCAAACACTATTGGCTCTGTTCGGCCCTTACATAAATCCTGAAGTCTTTTTTTTCTTCTTCATGAATCGAATGAAAAAAAAGTGCCACTCGGTGTCTCTCTCATTATATTAAGTGAAGTTAGTATTTTCACTCCTATAATTTGTTGTGTACCTTGGGAGTTCTACTAGTGTGTGTGTGGAGGAGAAGGGGGGGGGGGGGCTATGGGAGCCGCGCACATGACTAAGGGAAGGCGGAGAGATTAGAAAAGAGGAGGAGGACCTGGCCAAAATCGGCAAAGTTACACATCTCTTGCAGAATGTTTTGAAAACGTGAGTGCTTGTTAATGCAGGCCTTTGGCAGCTTGACCTCGTCTGACCACCACTCACTCAACTGATTACTTAGGTCTCGTTAATCCCGTCTGCAAAATGAGCCATGTTTTACCAGATAATCCATACTGTATGGGCTATGCCTTAAATATATGAAGCCTCCTATATTCCCTTGCCACATTAGTTTTGCAGGGCTACTCTACCAATTTAGATTTTGAAACCAACATGGCAATTGCAGGGGAATTCCTCTTCTCTACAAATACTGAAGTTCATGGACTTGGTAACTCTAAACCCTTTACAAGGAATCTGCAAGGATAACAACAATTGCACAATACTTTTTTATATCCTGAAAGGGAGATATCACAAGAAGGCGTGGGGAACCCAAACATCAGGCAGTGTTATTGGAGGGTTGTTGTTGTTACAGGGGACTGGCATGTGAAGAACTCCATTGTTCTTCTTGTCCCATCACCCGAGGGCCAATGCCACAAAGGGTGTCCAAGAGATAATATTTGGAGCTTTAGAAGTGGCAACACCAGGAATCAGCACTTGTAGACTGATTAATCAGTTTCCCCATCTATTTCCTATACATCTAAGCGGTTACTGTGTATTAGCCCCTGGTGAATACTTCCTAGTTGTGTTAGAATGCTCTGTAAAGGGTACATGTTGAAATAAGGTGTTCACGGATTCTTTCCCTAATAAAATCAGAGAATCAACATTTGATTGCATTACAGTAATTAAATGAATAAACTGTGAAACCAGGCCAGCAGGTCAGGAGAAACCAAAAGCTAGGGGTGCTGGAACAATTTTTATAGTGGGGGTGGTGCTGAGAGCCATTGAACGAATGGGTAAACCCTGTATATAATGGAAACCATTTCAAGCCAGGGCAGGTTGCGGCAGCACCCCCAGCACCCCTAGTTCCAGCACATATGCCAAAAGCTTCCCCTACCACAGAGTAGACAGTAGGAGTGATGCATGATTAACACAAATAAGAGCCTGAATAAATAAACTGGAGCACAGTTTGGGGAAAAGACATCTATACTACATATCGAGTATAGTATATTGGGAATCAGCTGCAAAAGTTGAACAAAGCACTATTTTTTCTTCTATAGTTGTACAAATATAAAAATAATTTCACACACATAAAAAGTGAATGTGTGTAGTATTTTGTGTGTTTCTCCCATCTGTGCCTGTCCCTCGCCACCTTTAGCAAAATCAGATATGGTGACGATTTGAAAGCCTAATTATCCCCAAAACTTTAGTTTACTGAATTTGTCTCTCAGGGTTTAGTTTAGCTTCCATTTTTCGTGCAATCAAGAGAATGAACAAAACCTTCTCATCCCCTCCTACACACTAAATTGCTACAATCTAACTGCTGTAGCTATATAGGAGCTAAAATGTACTGTACAGTAGTTTGACTAAAAACAGGAATCGATGCAACAATATACATTATTTATGGTCAGATCTTCTTAATAGTAATAGATTTACAGCTCCACTCTATTTTAGTTTTATTTCAGTATAAATATATACTCATATTTTCTAGTAAATCTAGCGTTATTCATGATAAATGCCAAACACTCTT